TCAGTGTAGTAAATGTTGAATTTGTTTAATTGTCTCTTTTGATGTTTTGAATGTGTCATTCCACTGATTTCTGTTATCCCTGGCTTCTGTAGGAAACCAATTGGAAAAAAAAACCCACTTGTTAATCTTATTGAGGATGGTGTGTGATGAGTCACTTCTCTCTTAATGTTTTGAGATTCTCATTTTTGTCTTTGTGCTTTTCAGATTGACGATGATGTATCAAGAAAAGCATCTGTTTGATTTAATCCTAGTTGTAGTTCATTGTGCTCAATGGAAGTACAGATAAATGCTTTTTTAAAGATTCAAGATATATTCAGCCATTGTTTGTTTACTTTGATATTTTCTGTTTCCTCTTCTTCTGAGACTCCAAGTATGTGTATACTAGTATGCTGTATCATGCCTCATAGGTCTCTGAGACTGTTTACCGTCTTCATTTTTTGTCTTTCCAGTTCCTCAGATTGGATAATCTCAATTTATTTGTCTTTAAATTCTGATCTTTATGTAGTCCTTCTGCATCAATTACAATTTTCTTCAGAATCAGCTTACTCCAAACATTAAAAAGTAAAACAAGTCCTATATTAACTAGCATGTCTGCCACTTCAGTAGATATCATGACAAACAAGAAAGAGAAGGTAACAGCCCCTGAGGTTTTTACTTCATGTCATAAAGCAAATGCAGAACAGTGCTCTCCAAAGGCGACTGGGCCCAGCTAAAATACATCTTAAGTGTTGTTGTAGAACTTCTGTCCCTGTGGCACAAAGATGGGCCAGGTTTCATAATTAAGACTTCAGTTTGATGTAGCCATGGCTGAAACTAGTTTGAGACCCCTATTCTCTATCCTCCATACTTCAAGACTAACCAAACCAAGGCTATTATGAGAAAAACTTCCGCCAGGTAACGAGTTCTCAATAAAACATTTCCAAGCATATGAAGAAGATGAACACCATGAAAAATAGACTCAACAAATAAAATAATTGTTCTTCCTCCATAAGATATAGAAATTTAGAGCCACATGGCAGCTAGACATGGTGGTGCATGCCTATGGATCCCAGCACTCTGGGAGGCTCAGGCAGGATGTTTGCAAGTTAGAGGTCATCCTGGGGAATGTAGTGATTTAGCAAGACTGTCTCAAAAAAATTAATCAGTCAACCAGTTGTGCTGAGGGACAGCTCAGTGCAAGGCCCTGGGTTCAAATCCCAGTACTGCAAAACAAAAACAAAACACAGAACAATGTGGGAAGAACTTTAATTTACTCAAAAAGAGAAATAGCAATTATGAGATAGTACAAGTTACTAGGAAAATCTGCCAAGTGGAAATTTTGAAAAAGTTATTGAAACAAAGAAAATATAGTATGTTAAGTGAATTTTAAGTTGGGGAGTAGAAAATATCAGGACATCAAGAATAAAAGAAAAATCTAAAAGTGAGTCAACAGTTTAAAGGTGAGACTGAGAAATGAAGGACATCAGAATTTTTGTAACAATATTGAACAGCAAAAGGACCAAAGGAAAACCAGTTTAAGGAAAATGGTAAATTAAGCTGCTGGTTAACAATATGTACCTGTCTCATAAAAATAACTCTGAATTATGTGTTATAGATTTTGAGCTTAAAAGAAATATAACAATCTACTAAGATGCAAAGATAGTCCCAGAAAGCAATGTTGGATATGTGGAAAACCACTTTTTAAAACTCAGATTTGCAAAAAAGTACCAAATAAGGATAAAGACTTAAAATTATAGTGAATTACTTCACTAGTTTAATTGGTATTTAAATATGTTGATAGGTGATTGATATTTGAGTATAGCTTAGACTTACAACAACTCCACATAAAAATTTAAAATTCATTTCATCCCTTTGCTTTTCAGCATTAAAAACTGGCATGTGAATTGTCGAAGAAGTATTTATTTTGGAAGTCATATACTTGTGGAGAAAAAACAGTGCATGCTATCTTGAACTATGTATTGAAAATAAATGAGTAACTATTTATTGAAAAAATTTTAAGCCCTTGGACCTTGCAGATTTTCTTTCAATTTTGATACCATAAATACTGAATTCCACAGAAGTACCAATTAGAGGATAGGGAATTCAAATACAGAGTACAGGAAGTTACTGTGATGAACAACAAGCCTTGTATTTAATTTTGTCTTTGTCCCTAGAAGCAAAGACATGAGCAGGCTCAACTTCTTAAAATTGGAGGCAAATTATAGATATTATTTTATAGTTATCTGAGTTTTCAGAAGTTTTAACAAGCAAACAGAAACTACTGGATAACAGATTTGCTCCAGAGAAATTATACTTAAGAAAACTATCCCTTTTTGCATATAAGTAGTTTTTGAAATTCAATGTATAGATAAACATCAAGTAAACAAGAACTAAATCCTTAGAAAGTTCATCAGTTTCCCAAACATTTACATTTATTTGTTCAGTAAGTATAAACTGAGCATGAACTGTGTTTGAGGCATTGTGCTATATGTAATAAATTCAACCATAAAGAAAATGGACACAGACTATTTTCAGTTTGTTTAAAGTCTGCTAAGGTCATGTAGTATATTATATGCATGAAGTGATGTAAGCCCTTCAAAATTTCTTTTTGAAAATTGAAATATAATGAGGTACATTTCTATATAATTTGTAGTAATGGATTTATCAACTATCTTGGAGGCAAAATTACTGAAAAAATTATTGTTAAGATATAAAGCCACCCCTTCTATCTTGTGTCAGACCTTTAGTTTGTGGAGTTCCAGAGTGCAACAACAGTTAACTGCTATGTATGTGGTAGTCACTCTCTGTCCTGCGCTTAATGAAGTACCCAGATAAAGGAAATTTTGAAATTTGTCTTTAGGGCCTGGGATATAGCTCAGTGGCACAAGCGCCTGCCTGGCAAGCACAAGATCCTGAGTTCGATTCCTGGTACAAGAAAAAAATATGTGAAATTTGTCTTTAAGTAAATAGATAAATGGTTTCAGAGTGCTTAGAAATAAAAGTCAAATGCAACCAAAAGTAAGATGTGATTGTTTTCCATCTTGAAATTTAGTCCATACTAATTTTTCTGGCTTTACTAAATTTTATCTACTTTCTCAACAATGTGTAAATCAATCCATCTATGAGTTAAATTATGAAGAGTATGTGTTATTCTGCCTTGGAAGTTTAAATGGCTCCTTATCATACTGCCCTTTTCAACCAAATTTAGTCTCCAATGATATACCATATTGGCTCCCCAGAAAACTGCTCTCTATTTGTCCCACAACTGAATACTTCTCCAGCTTAAACACTATTAACACTAAGGCAGTCAAATAAAGATAACTCTTGAACGGAAATTTTTGTCCTTTTCTTTATTCTCATGAAACTCAGCTAAATATGAGAAAAGAAAAAAATCTGATCGAAAAGCCAGATTCAAAAATCTTCATAAGGTACTTAGAATAAAAAAAATATTATTCTTCTCTGATTAAAGGATTCATGCATTTGATGTTTATTGTAGTAAATGATGTTCTCTTTTTCACATCTCTCTGTCTTTTTTTGGAGGGCCTTCTGCATGCTAAGCATGTTCTCTACCACTGAGCTCTACCTGTAGTGCAGCACCATTCAAATGTGATTAAAATTACACTTAATATATATGATTGAAAGAATAGCAATATTAAATTGTTTTCACTTTTGGTAATTTTCAAAATATTTTGGAGTTTGATTCCATTTCATCTAGTCATGAGTACTGAATTCATGGAACATTCTCACTCTCTGAATGGCAAAAACCAAGAAGAAGAATTTTTTTTTTCTAATAAATTTCTCTAATTTAGGACAAAATATGTTGTAACTTTGAAACTTTTTCAATTTCACTAAAAACAGGCATATGTCTAGTTTTCAGATTTTATTTGCTTTTGTAATTTAGATTTTCACAGTATTGTTCTTTTCTCTTTAGAACTCCCTAATCTTGTACAACTTGATTAATTATGATGGAGGAATTGGAATGCTGATGATGATGGGCTGTTTTTATTCCAACAAAGTCACACATAAATAACTTGTCATGTCTGATTGTAATCTGAAGGAGGGTACCAAGATAGGAAGAAAATATTTTTCATTAATGCGGTAAGAAGGTATCAATAACAAGGCAATGCTCAGTAGGACAGTACTTTTACTATAAAGAATTTAGAGGTCATACATCTGTGTACTTTTTTGAAATTTCAAAAAAGAACTTCAGGACTTTAGATTTACTTCTCATAATTTACAACCCCAATATGGGTTTACCAGATGCATAGGTAAAAAAGGTTTCATGCAAGGTGGAAAGTGCAATCCATTGTTTAAATGGCTTAGCTTCAACTTTTTCCCCAGTTGTCTTTCTGAACAACCTTAGAGTGACTCACTACTCTGCTTCATTGGTTATAATATTTGTTCCTTTATAGATCATAATAAAACTATATAATATTGGAATCCTAACTACAACTGTCAATAAGAAAATGAATTAAATGTGCTACTTTCACTGGAGGTGATATACAAAAATGATATATTGCTGCATCATAAAGGAAAAATATTATTCCTCAAACTTTATTAACCGTAGACAAAACTGTTTTACGAATATTATGAAGCATATTACACAAATATATTTAACAGGAGAAATTACAAATTGGTACTACGCAAATCTGTTTACACTACCTTGAAATATAGAATGGGAAATAAGTGCTTAAATAAACCTATTTGAAATCACCATCAAAGATAATATAATTTTGCTCTCCTAAAATTAAAAGAGGCATTAAGATTCCATAAGAGGGCCAGCAGATGGAAACAGGAAAATATAAATTAGCATGCAATTACAGAGTAAGTTCAATATATAAACAGAATGTTATATGACCTGCTGACTTTTGAATAAAAAAACAATACTCACAGAGAAACCTTCTGCCTAATGGAACTTGTTATTCCTGATACTGATATTTCACAATTGTCCTGTTAAGTGTCTCAAAGCAGGTTACTGGGGACAGTCGACTTCAAGAACTTGAAATCGCTGGTCTCTGTACCTCCAGAGAGACACACCTCATACTGGTAGCTGTGGGCCAGGGTCCCGGCGCCGCTGACGTCCAGCAGGCGGGCCGGGAAGGGGCCCTCGGGCGCCGGAGCGCCAGCCAGCGCGGCCGGCCCGCT